TCCATCTCGTCTTTGCTGACAGACCCGAACCCCAACGACCCGCTAGTGCCGGAGATTGCCCAAGTCTACCTCAAGGACCGAGCCAAGCATGATCAAACGGCGCGCGAGTGGGTCCAGAAGTATGCCACCTGATCGGCCAAGCTCAAATTTTGCAGAGTTCGTCAGTACTTGGTAGACGGCAGCTTGCTTGGGCCAAGCTCGATTCCTTTCTTACCAGCATTTCTTACAGCGCAGCTCCTAGGAGTTTGAGATAGTTTGAGAATATGCCATAGCTTTTCCAGATTATGTGTATGGGGTGGTCGAGCAATGATCCTGCAATATGCTGCTGTTTCGAGGGGTTGGTTACGTCCATTGGATGCACCAGCCAAAGCAAACGATCATCAAAATCTGAGCGCTGCATCTCCCGCATGCCCTGATGCCCACGTCAGGTGGGTGCACCCGCACCCGGAGACAGACACGCACACACGGAAAGACACAAACACAGACACAGACAGACAGAACCATGCACGCACATGCACACGCACGCGCACGCGCACGCACGCGCGCACGCGCACACGCACACGCACACACACACACACACTCTCTCTCCCTCTCTCCTAATTGTCATGGTGTACCATGATTTTAATGTTCGCTGTGCAAACTTGCAGAGTATGTCTCGAGTTGGAGTGAACTGGAAGGTGCTGCGCCTCTCGGTCACACAGCGCCTGCAGCAGGCTGCCTCTGAGGCTTCCGAGCTAATTATGTCAGTCGACCACGAGCGGCTAATCGACGTGCACAGAATGGCCTGATCTGTGGACTCCGTGGCAACAGTCGTTTTGCGTGCGTGCGTGCGTGTGTGTGGCGGTTTACTTGTCATTGCATGTCATGTGATGCCATGCCATGGCCGCGGCTCCACGGAGAGAGTTAATACCAAACCTGCGTGCATTGAAAAGCATACGATACATTTCAGTATGGCCTACATATGGCGGACTTTGACATGATCCGAGAATTTCGAGAATCTCCACCGAGTCTGGTGGGCAAAGGGGCTGTGTGGTGCACCTTCCCGTGGACACGTGCCGGCACGCAGGTTGACCTGGCCAAAGCAACGGCCGAGGCAGCCAGCATGGAGGCGCGGAGGGGGCCCTCTGAGCCACGCAGCAGTTGCTTCAGATGGAGCTCTTGCATCAGGCAAGGCACCTGCAAGAAATGGTCATGCGTGCGAAGGCGAGGGTTCAGCGAAGCCAACGAAGAAGACCATGGTCTGTCAGTGGCTAGCAGGTGAACCAAACCTCCAGCCTGTCCGAGTGGGAGGCATACGGGAGCTAAAGCACTCGTTTGTCCCCTGTCGCCCTCCGATACCGCTAGCTGCTGCTAGTTCACAGCTTCGGCGACTCACCCCTTGAGAAAGCATGGCACATGGATTGTTGTGGTCTCTCCTGCTCCAATCCCGGTCCCGGGTGCTGCAGGGATTCCAAACTGACGTTCGTGCGGGGAGCCTGACTTCAAGTGCTCGAACACAAACCGAGTGTACTGGGGAAGCCTTTGAGCTCGTGACAGCTCTTCCGAGGGTTTGCTGGTCGACGGGCCACCACTGCCTGTTCCGACGCCAACTGTCCAGGACTCTGAGGCCGCAGCTTGCAGTGGATCCGGATCTCCAGGAGCTCTACTGACTCTACTGGGCTCTTGCCCCCTTTTCAGGCCTATGCTGAGATGGCCGAAGCCCTCGATGAGATAAAGAGGCCAGTGTCATAGCTGTCCCTTAATGGCTTTAAGCCAACTGTGCGCGCTCCAGATGGCCCCAGCATGAACCCTGCAAACCCTGACCTTCTTTGCTGGAGCTGCAGATGGCGACTTCACGGAACGCCGCCGAAGAATGGGCCTCGTTCTCGGATTCAGGGTGACGACTTCAGTGCATCTCGCCACGAGGGAGGCTGCATTGCTGCATGTTTCCTCAGGTCCGCTTTGCAAAAGAGTCTGAAGGCCGTGTTTTACTGGTGCTCCTTCGACCATGTTCGAGAGCTGTGGCTGCAATCCGGCAAGGCTCGAATTGAGGATGTGGAGTTCCAGCCTCACGCAGAGTCGATGCAGTCTTTCGCAGCATCGCCTGCTACTGCTAGCAGGCTAGAAGCCGGCAAGAAGTGTTTGAAAGATCGGCTGACCAAGGATTTCCCAATGAAGTGATGATTCTAATTTGCCGTCTGCTGGATGTCTTGGACCTGCCAGAAAGCTGAGGCGTCAGCTCCTGGCTGCACGAGCCATCCGCGAGCGCGGCCAGAAAGAGGACCTTCAGATTTGTCCGGGTTCATGGTCATGCGTCGGTATTGTCCCACACTTTGTATGTTCGTGATTGCAATCGTTTTCCGTGGATGTTCTTCTGCAAAAGCGTAAACATGCTGTACCAGGGTGGCAGTGTGATGGCTGGAATTGCAGCGGCTGCTGTCTCAGCGGCCCGCACGGCATGCAGCCGCAAGCTCAGCGTCGCTGCCTGGAGAGGGTCGTGCAATGTCCTACCTCGTCTTCCTGTCATCAGCACCTGTCCTCGAGGCGAAGATCGCTTAGCGGAGCTTGAGGCAGGAATGGCACATGAGCGGAACATGGAGAAGCAATAAAATTCTCTATCGGAGCCGAACGAAGAATTTGGCAAACCGGCTGCATACGACTGTCCAGGAAGACCTGCAAAGCACGAGGGATGTGAAAGCAGCTGCGGAGGTCGGGCAGCGAGTGGTTGGACTTGGTCCCATGAGGCCCCACCTAACCTAACCAGCGAGCTGAGCAGACGAAATTGCAGGCATTGATGAGCGAGATTGCCGCTCATGCAGGCAAGCCAAGCGATTCTGCAGGCACGAGCTGTGTAGAAGTAACGTCTTTTCCCTGCATGCCATTCTGTGGGTTCAGCCAGGTGAACTGGCCGATGCCCAAGATGACCATGCAGACAGGAGCCAAGAGGCACGGTGCGGGCAGGCGCGACTGTGCAAGTCCCTGCACGCCGACCCTTGAGAACACATCTTCGAGCGAAGGCGGCAGCCGTTGGTCTGCAAAAGCCTGGGCCTAACCCCAGCGAGGAGGCTTGCATATTGCTGCCGGTTCGTGCGAACGAGTCCCAGTAGTTTCTCCAGCAGAGCCCATATCTGATACATGAGTTGGACGAGTTGCGTAGCTAGCTCTCGGACAACTTACTTGGAACACGTCCCTGAAATGCCACCTTGGTTGGCCAGGCAGTGAGAAGTTTCACCGCTGAGTTGCTTGAAGCGTTGGCTGCATGCCGCGTGGAAATGGAGCTGGTGAGGCGCGCTGCGGCTGGAGCCTTGTTGGTAACCTCAACAAATTGACGGGCAGCAAAGGGTTTGCTAGTTTCTAGTTTAACACTCCGTCACCGCGACTTGCGATGCATTTCTGGGTGCGACCATGAAATGCAGTTCATCAAGCAGGTGACTTGAAGCGGGTCGCAGATTGTTGTGGAAATTCGGGGCGTGACAGTCCTGACACTCAGGACAACAAGACTCCCTGTGGTTGATTTGCCAAACCGCACGCGCGCACACGCATGCGCAAGCACGCACGCACACGGATTCACACGCACGCACGTGCGCACGTGCGCACGCGCGCGCGCACACACAGAGAGAGAGAGAGAGAGAGAGAGAGAGCCCCCTATCGCACAGTGATGGGG